ATGAGTTAGAGATTAAAAGTCTTCAAACTTCAACTATGTTGATCGTCCATTATAGATCAAACAACATAGACCCACCGATTCAACCGTCGATGAACCAATGATCAAGTGAACCATCTCTTTGTTGGGGTAAATACTTGAAATCTGTTTGGCAGGGTTTCTACTTATTGTAGAAGCGTTCATTGAGAAAGTTACTTTAGATTAACTTCCTTTAAAAACTCATCAAGTCAGGCAAAAACTTTAACAAAATTGTCCAATATTTTCAAAAGTAACTTTTTAGACCATTGATTATGCTTAACAAAGTTGTCCACTCATGAAAATATTTCGAAAGACAGAATTTTGATTGATGCTGCAGAAGAGAAAATTTGTTTTGGGCCTTAGCCCATTCTGGAATCATTAATTGTGAAAATGAGACATGAAAAAAGTAAATAGGGGCACCAACTCCTACACTGTTTGGATCATGATTTTAATGAAAAGGTGATTTTTCTTGGAAATGAAAATCCAATTAATAGCTCAATATGATGATTTTAATGAGAAGGTCATTTTTCTTGGAAATGAAAATACCATTAATAGCTCATTATGGAGAAAATGACCTAAAACAAATTTTAATTACACTAGAAAAATGTATTGGCCTTCACTCCTTTCAATGTATTGACAAGTTAGAGCCTGCAGATGAAGGGCTCAATAATTGGTTAATATATTTGTCCAAGATAATTAGTAATTTATTGAATTTTACGTCTTATCTTACGATTATTCTCTATTTTCGCGGAGTTCTACACCTCACATGACATGTTTAGTACTCCCTCCGTGTATAGGTTTGTTTCGTTTTTCACACGAATTAAGAAAACTTCTTTAATGTCATTGGAAAATTAATTTTTGCTAAGATCTTTCCTAATTTACCCCTATTTAATTTTCCGTATGTAAAACTAAATTATTGTTGGAATTAATAAAGAATTTGAAGAAGAAATGAGAGTTGTTCTATATTTCCAAGAAGTGGGAAATGTGTGTATTTGGATGATTTCAAGAAGTTGGCATATTAAGTGAGGAAATTTTAATAAGGGTATATTGGTAAATGAGCAAAACAAAATATTCTACACTAAGAAACAAACCTATATATTTGGGACAAAAGAAAAAGGAAATTCAGCCTATATAATTGGAACGGGGGAGTATACTAGATTAAACAATAATATATAGAAATAAATTAATTTTTACATGCTTATTATTGCATTATAGGAAATGAAGAAATTGTTAGGATGATTTTAAAATCTTACACATTTATTTAGGAAATGATATGATTTTAACTTCTTTTTATTCTTAATAAGAGTCTGTTTGTTTCCAATTAAAATTCAATTAAAATTGAAAATATGATCGTTATTGGGTCCCATTCGTCTAATAAAAGTCAACAATAACGGCTAATTTTTCAATTTTAATTCGATTTTAATCTCTACCGAACACGCCCTAAGTAATATTCGATAAGATTGTTTACTTCAAATCTAACGAAATAAAGACGTTAAGAGTGCCGACTATTTTCCTACTTGCATGTGCTAAACAATTTAAATCAATCCAACCCGAATTATTTATTACAATTTCTTCCTCGTTTAAAGTGAGATTTTAATTTAAAAAATTTCTGTAACACAAATTTTAGAAGGTTCGCGACCGAGGCAAGAATTGCGGGCTCTGAGATTAATAATATTTAATAACTTGACAATTTTTATCCTTAATTATTGGGTGAAACAACATGAAAAGTGGAGCATTTCATGCTAAGATGTCTCCATGAAATTGCTGCTCTATTTTTTAGCCATGAACTATGATCCCAAGTTTCAAACACTAGATTAATTAATTTTAATTTTTTGCTACTTGTAGGCAGTAGCAACTTATAAAAATAGGAAAAATTGCAGCACTGCCGGACTCAATCTATTGCTCAAGTAGTAATTTGGTTCATAAGATCTAAAAATAACCAAGTTACTTCGCAACATTTCATTATAGTTGCACGTCGGTCCTCGGTTACGAAAATTGTCTCGAGGACCATGCATGTCCAACGCTTTGAAACTAGATTTTATTACTCAACTCAAAGCGGCGCCCAAACGTTGGTGCAGCCATGAGAATTACATTACGGACTTACAGCTTATGACCTATTTGGCAAAGTTTCTAAAAGTTAGAATTGCTTTTGATGTTAAGAAGTTGCTTTTGAGTTTCTTTCACACGTTTTGAAAATGTTTCGTTTGGTTGAAAAAGTTATTAAATAAAGTTGGCCCAATATAAAGGTTGAACCCCAACCTTGAGGGTCCCCCACCTCCCTGCCCCTAGAGGCTAGAGCTTTGTAGATGAGGTAAATCGCGGGATGAAGTTGGCCCAATATAACTTCATTTTCTGCTAGAAGATTAATTGTGCAATATGTTGAGGATTAATAGTTCAGTTCTCTATACAATTATGTTAATTTTGATGAATTTCTTTATACTATTTTAACATGGACGGATTTAGGGGGGATTGGTCTGGGCTGAGGCTCGGTCCAGTCCCCGTACCATTAATTTTTTTAGTGTAAAAAATATATATTGTAATTTTTTTTTATGCGTAAGATTAATTTTTCTAAATATTAGTCCGGCTTGTAGTTCGAACTTGAATCCGTCTCTGATTTTAACTACATTTATAAGTTGTTAATTAAAACCGGCATTATAACTTCATGTTCAATAATGTCTAATCTCCATAGTCACTGAAGATACTAAGTTCTTTTAGAATGAATCCTTTCATGCATATATTGTTTTCCAGTCTATAAATTAAATCAGATTCATATGTACAATAACACTCCAATGACCACAAATAGTGATATTCTCCCTCATCCATAAGAATATCTTGTTTTCTTGTTTTTTCCTCCAACTCTTTGCTGCTTAACTTAACATAGACAACAGGATTCAAATTATTTTAGCCAGTGAGGACCAAGGCCTGTGAAGATAAGATAACCTACTTTAAAAATAATGTTGTAGTTTTTTACTGACTAGTGCGTCAAATCACGAATCTTCACGTACATACCACGTAGGAATAACATTATTTTTAAAGTAGGTTATCTTATCTTCACAGGCCTTGGTCCTCACTGGCTAAAATAATTTGAATCCTGTTGTCTATGTTAAGTTAAGCAGCAAAGAGTTGGAGGAAAAAACAAGAAAACAAGATATTCTTATGGATGAGGGAGAATATCACTATTTGTGGTCATTGGAGTGTTATTGTACATATGAATCTGATTTAATTTATAGACTGGAAAACAATATATGCATGAAAGGATTCATTCTAAAAGAACNCTCAACATATCCACCAACCAAATAGTTATACGAACACCAGTTGGTCATTCTATCCAGCCAAGGAAGCTGTCGCATAATTATTGAATTTCTAAGGTACTTCTTCCATAAAAATAACTTGACTATTAGAGTTGAATCGACCACCATGTCTTAATCTAGTCATCACTAGTCAAATAAACCAACCTATGTATTTTTTTTGCTGTTTATACAGATTTCATGCAACAGACCTAGACTAGAAATTCTTTTTTTTTTTTTTTTTTTTTTTTTTTT